CAGCGTTAGCTCGTTTAAAAATGCGAGGGCGCGCTGAGAGTTGCTTGAGGATTCTTGCGAATCGTTTGCATCCCGTATCAGCGTTAGCTCGTTTACAACAAGGGGAGCAACCGTTCTCGTAGCTACCTTAAGTTTGTCAACTTTGATCGGCGTGAGGCACAAATATTTGCGACTTAATTCTAGCACTTACTACTTATTGTTGGTTTGTACCGGGCGGCAGCAACGTGGTAGCAACAGAGCGGCGGCGGCAGCGGTGTCGAGTGAGCTCCAACAGGATCCACACAACACAACACAATTGTTCTTTTGAGTCACTACGTTTGCTCGCGTATCGACAAGACCGCACTTCGGAAAATTTCGTTTTATTCTGACTCTAAGAGCCTTGCGGGGGCTCTTTTTATACCCGCGGCTCGGGAAACTCGGGATCACCTAATTTCTCGTTATCCGTCGGATTTCCCTTGATTTTATATTCCCGGGATGTATGTTTCCGTTTAAGATAAAAAAAAACGAAAATTTATCGAGAAAGAAAAACAGAAATTTTCCAAACTCTGTGTTTCTTGACTCTATCGAGAATTGATATCCGGTCTCGCGCCAGTATCGCGCGGCTGCGTTCCCGTGATATCATATCTTGTTATTGTCACGTCGCGAGGAGGAAGTGGAGTCCACGGGACGTAACATTATGCTAATTTTAATGCAAACATCGGATTAAACAAATTTTATCTTTCACTATATGTATATATATATATATGTCATTATATGGACCGTTTATTTTAAAAGTGGTGTAAGTCCATTTTTGAAAAAAATGAGATATCACGTAATTNATAATTCATAATTGACAGATGTTAATCTATAAGTTTCTCGAAACAAAAGAAAAATGGACTTACACCACTTTCAAAATAAACGGTCCATATATATGTTACCTATAAATATATATATATGTTTGTGAAAAAATTGTACAATACGCTGTCCGAAAAAGTTGAGCTCGGTCGAACTTTTGGGCGCGCTATTGTCATCAGAATGTCACTAGACAAGTGTTGTAACTGCCGAAGATCAATTTTTTTAATTTTGTGACAAGGATGTAAAATCAAACAGATTTGCATATCATTTAATAGAAAAAAACATAATAAAAATAGTTTACAATTTAAAAATATATTTATAAAATAGGATATAAATTATCGCTTTACTTATTCTCAATTGAAGAGCTCTCATTGGCTGTTGCTCAACATTTGAAACAGCGCTTGAGCGCTGGTGCTAAAGCGCCAGTGTCTGCATGAGAATCTAGCCGTACGCATAAGCAAATTTAAAACACTATTCGACAAAGGATATACACCAAATTGGACAACTGAAGTATTTAAAATCGATAAAATACAGACGACTTATCTCGTGACGTATCTGCTTGAGGATTCACGCGGACAATCTGTTGCTGGAGGATTCTACGAACACGAACTGCATCGCGTTGCAAATCCAGACGTTTATCTCGTTGAAAAAGTATTGCGCAAGAAAGATGACAAAGTTTATGTGAAGTGGCTGGGATTAGACAAGTCGTACAACTCTTGGATAGATAAAACTAATGTATTGTAAACACATGCACTTTATACATAGTTTTACAGTTATAAGTACTTTTACAATATATACAATATTACATATATTAATTTACAATATACATATAATATACTATACATTATACGTGTTTTTTTCTTGTGGTATTTTGTAATGTCCTCATGGCAATGTTTCAGTAGAATCGAGTACGATATATCGCTTATCGTCGTACGGACTTAGAGCAAGTTTCGAACACAGTGTATACTTCGTGTAGCTTTGATCGTACACGACTGTCGACGCATCTTTTCGATTTCATCGTTCAAACACTACTTGTAATCATCAAACGTTAATGTTCTCGCTACGACCCTACTCTTTACACCTTTGGTTTTTTTCATGTCTCTCTTTCCGTCTACCTTCAATGCATACATTTTTGCTCGAAGTCCGACAAATTCAGTCATTATAATTCCGTTATTTTCATCCTTCATCAATCCTAGAACCTTTTTGTTGGCGCGCGGTATACCATACACGTTATCAGTCGGATAATCACCTGTATCAAATCGTACGATATCACGTTTCATGATATCGTACATGTCTTCGCATTTGATGAAATAAATGAGACTGTCTGTGTCGGTGTACATAATTTTGCATTTATCTCGGTATAAAGGTGTCATGTAATCCTGGTGAAATTCGCACAAACATGTATTAAATATGTCTAATATACATATGCCTACGTAGATTGGTTTGTTAAATTTTACCTTGAGTTTGCGCAATTCAACTGCAATAAAATTTTCAGAAAAGACGCTTCGGCTATGAAAATTTGGTCGGGAGATCAGTGCTTCCACACCGTATTTTCCATCCCACTTTGTTAAGAGTTTTATATCTACATGATTACGCACATTTTCCATAGTTTTACCAAAAACCGCATTATTCATCAATTTGTATACATTTTTTTCAAAGTCGTTTTTAGCAAGCGTTCGAAATTGTGTATTTAATTTAATGTGACTGCGGAGCCACTGAGATTGCATGAATTGTAATATGCGGTGGATCTTTGTAATACAAAGACCGCACACATTGTTGCAGGGCACGATAGTGAATGATGTAACGCGTTTTGTTATGTAGTGTTGCGAGCAGCTTCTCCTGTCGTTGCCAGGCGGCTTATCACGCGTCGGACAGAACGGTAGGTCAGCGTGCACGTCGTGCAGTTTGCGAGGATACTCGAGGTCGACTTCAAGGATGTAACCGATATCTAAGGTTGATGCCACAGACATCACGTCGACACTCCAGACGTTGTCTACCCATTGGAATGCATCATACGGTGGCTGACACATTGCCCAGCCGTACAAGTTATTTATATCAAAATACATGAGATATGACGTTGGTTTTGATGTGTCATACATCTGCATGTACTTGTTATTAGCGTGCGCGTATCTTGCGCTGCACTGACTAAGACCGCGTTCGATAAACATAACCATATCAACATCTGTGAGCAGGTCGAACGTTATGCCTGTGTGTTTTAGCATAGCGTCCCACGTGTAACCGAGTAAAGTATAATAATGCGCAGGATCTAATCCATAACTTCGGATACAACTTTCGCGGAAATTCTCAAATATATCAGCCAATAATAAAACATCAGTCTTCAAATATAAATCACTGTCTTCACCTAACGTACTAATAGAAAATTGTTGCCAGATGTTTACAGCGTGTGCATATTTACTCTCAGATATCGTTTCACCGGTCAAGGAACTGTAGAATGACTCACGCGGTGGTAAACGTCGCTCTTGCAACTTGTCGACAAAGTCTACATATTCGTACGGAAAGACTCCTTTACGCGTTAATAACTTAAAGTTTTCGACGGATAAATTTCTAAATTCTGATTGTAAAATTTTTAACTTGTCTTTGTTAAGAAACGATGCTAGTTTATCGAGGCTAGCACTGAGAAATTTGTACGAATCAATAAATCGCAACTCTATATTGTAACTCTTTGAACTACTTTTTTCCGGTTGCGTGACGTTCTTGGAAAAAGATATGTATCTCTCCTTATTAATAGGGAGAACAGTAATCTTTCCTTCAAACGCTGTCGCAACTTCTGTAATAATAAAGCGCATCGTAACCAGATAAATTGTGAAAAATTACTGGGATATAATGTGAATCTTTATAATTTAAGTTGCAGTTGGAGTGCGCAGGACCTCTGTATCGATCAGTCAGATGACAATAATCGCGAACTTGTATGTCATCTGCTGCAAATGATTTTTCGCACACGTGACAGTGACTCGCGTTACGATAAGCTGGTTTTTGTTCTTCTGTTAACGTTTCCATGGACACATTGGTAGATAGAATGATTTTTATCCGATTAGCGAATTCTTTGAGTTCTTCAACAAACCATGCGATGCAATCTTCGCCGCGACGATACCGATAAACAAGAAAGGAGTCGTTGTATGAGCAGCGGACGTAAAATCCTATGCTAAACGTTTTGTGATATTGGTACGCATAGGACGTTTCTTGCTGCTGCGTCTCTCCATCAGTCTTGTATAATACGCTCTCAAGGTATACTACAAACAAAAGACGTTTCTTTCTTCTGTTGTTGGTAAAACTGAGCCACATCATCTTCCGCCGGTAACCGGATCGCGCAGTTGTTCAAGTTTTCGCAATCTACCGTGTGGAAATTCAACTTGTCCAGAGAATGAAAGTAGTGTAAACATCTGCAAAAAATATACATATTACATTAATTTCTTATATTGTCACGCATTCTATATATAATGCAAGCATACCTATTGCAAATATATTTTTTTCCATTGTGTTTGCATACTTGTGCACTCATAAGTCGAGACAGATTCTTTATGCATGCAAAGTGCCCCAGATTAACTTCTCGCGGATCCAAAACGTAGAGCAAGTTTACGTGCTTTTCTCTTTTCTGCTCTGTAAGACGTATTGGAAGGATGACAAGTTCGTTTGGTTCATTCTTCTTCCTTCTCAGTTCCATGTTGTACACATTGACAGAGATGTTGTTGAGTCGTTGAAATTTTGGTATTTGGTGTACACTCATTGAAAACACAATGTCCTATAGATTTAGCATTGTCGTATAGTGATGATACGATGATGCGCGTTCTACATGTCTTTCGACTGGATAAAGAGCGGCGACAACCGACCATGCAAAGCATGCATTGTCTTCAGATAGCACATTAATTACCGCTCTCTTAAATTTAACTTCTGATAGCAAATTTATACAACATCCTGCGCGTAATGGATTGTACTTGTTCACGTTTACGATTAAATTCAGTATACGTGACAAAGCCCATCCACTATCACGTTCTTGGAATTCATCTAAAAACGTTAACGTGGGTTTGATGACATATCGCTCGTACCACTCATCTAAATTGGTTGCACAAAAGAGGTCCGAATTTCTCGTAGTTATACTTTTATTCGCCTGTTTTTCTCCTGATACAAATTCACCATTGAACACTGTATTGACTTTGAGATTACTGTGTTTCTCAATGGCGTTTTGCACTTTTTCCAACACCGTGCTTTTCGCGTGTTCGAGAAAATGGCGAGGCTCAACATGATGTTCGTTGATAATAGCACCCGTCATTAGTCTACTCTCAAAAACGGTGTCAATCTTTCGCCATGTAAGTCTATGTCCGCCACCAATATATGCAATCTGTCGACGCAGTAAGTTTTTTAATCCTTCGAGTCGCGCAATTCTAACAATCAGCGAATGTCTGACTCCTACAGACAATTGTGGACGTTTGTTCCGACTATGTTCTTTCAATACTTCGAGACATTCTTCACATCGCTGCTCCCATGAGACGACTTTTTTCGCGAGTTTAAACGAGTTGATTGCTCCAATATATCGCGCTCTAACTGCATGAGTGTATTTTCTATTTTTTCACTTTTTGTAACACGTTATTTTGGAACATACACCGACTGATTGTCTAATCTATTTTCCGATGAAATACTGATTTTATGCGACGCTTATTACCTTTTTATAGTGCACTTGTTGCTGATGCTGCATTTGTTTGGCTTACGAAAAATACTATAACGCACATCTTTGTTTCATAGAAATGAAATTTGATACTGATCTGACAAAAGTGCAGGTTTTTGCAGAATTTATGAGTCATGTTGAAATTGCATCATTATTTCTTCTGTAATACGCAGTTAGCAATTTTTTACTAACATCAGTATGTTCTTTATCTAACCGATGAAATTTGACACTCAACAAAAAAAATAATGCAATTTTGCAGACTTTATGAGTCATATGTAGCAGTTACATTACCATTTGTCTCTAATACGAAGCTAGCAAGTTTTTTTGCTGACAGCAACATTTCTTATTTAGTATAAAACTAGAAATATAATACTTTAATACGTGATCAAATCGGTGAAATCTGATCCGACAAAAGTAATTTTTGCAGAACTTATGAGTCATACATATAGCACTTTGTCATCAATTTTTTTTCTCTAATATGCAATTAGTTGTCACCAGCAGTTTTTGATCTAATATAAAATGAGTCATACTTTTGATGCCATCATCACTTTTTTAATACAAAGTAGTGGGATCGGTCAGTATTTAAGAGAACTCTTACGTGACATCGCGTTAGTCGATTTTTCACCGTGGGTTCAGAAGAATACATGTATACCGTAGCGGCCAGCAGGAAGTGTAACAAAGATTGCACGCAATAGGTAAGTTTTTGCCATGTACAGTATGTACACTTTATTCACTCGTGTAACTATTTTTTTTATAAGGAAAAGTTGTCATATGTCGGTCAGACAAGTAGAATGCTACTGACTAGAATAAAAGAACACAAAAATCATATCAATAGAACCTCCGCACAGAATTCAGTGATCACGAAACATAGAATTAATTTTTCACATGAATTTGACTGGGATTGTGTTGAAATCTTAGACAGTGAAAGATCTTACTACAAACGTTTAATCTCAGAGACTCTGTACATCAAGAGTCAAAGTCGCGGGCTGAACTTACATAGCGACACAGAAGGATTAGACAAATCATATTTACCATTTGTAGATAACACACGTTCTCAGCCTTTGTCAGTGACACGTGACTTTGATTCTGATTTGATTTAAAATGTATGTATACTTCGTATCTCTCAGTTACTAAATCGCTTCTGTGAAGATGTGACAGCCTTATGTGTTTTTGTGACACACATCTTTACTAACGTAAATCCATCTATTTACTCATTGTAAGTTTTTATCAATCTTTTATTTATGTATTCNTTCCAACTTCGTGACAATTATAATTTTTCTTGTAGAATTTATATTGATAAAGACCCAAATCAAGGGTCGAAACGTTTATACAGACCACACATATTCTTTAATAAACATTTTTCACCTTACACTTCAACATCAGTGTTTGCTTCAAACTGCTGTATCAACTTTTTCTTATTTTGAATGATTTTGGAGCATTTTATTATCTAACATATTTATTTTTTTATACTGTGTCAACTGCGTCTCTTCTACATCGGGCGACTCGCATTTTGGGAAGACGGTACGCGCTAACATCAACAGCGTACAAATACATTGAAATTGGAATAAGTGTCGGTCCAATCTCCTATGTGGAGATAGTTATTAGAGATGGAACTATGGAAATTCATTGCTTATACCATTTTCCACATGACAAACGATCATCCAGAAGCAGACAGATATTCACCAACTGCTACAATCAGCCGATATATCTGCTACTTTATGGCTTCGCGATTTGGCGCTAAATATCGTTATTATGCGTGACGCACGAGTTGTAAAATTTACGTTAAACGATAAGTGCTTGTATATGAAACCACCAACCGTAAAATTTTTATTAATTTTAAATTTTTGTATTGAAAACATGTATTATTGGTTGGCTGAACACACTCATGTAGTCAACATAAAGTTTGCGCAGTTTGTTCACGTGTTACGAGAACAAAATATCACTGATGTATGCAAAGCTGCAACAGCGATATGTCAAAGTCAAGTGTATGACAATAGAGCAATTATAAATTGCGAGCTGTTGGCATGCGCTTTATAAGATATTGTGTATGATGCGTGTAAATAATGTGTAAACATTATCTTCTTAATAAAAAATCTAGATATAACATTTAAAAAAAATGTAGATATAACATATTTACTGTACAAACATTAGACATCGCGACACATACAAAATAATATAAAAAAAAGGAATATGCGTGTAAAACAAATATTGTGCATGTATGTAATATACTTTGTAATATGTATAGAATATACTTTGTAACGCGATGCATGAAATCATTGCGTTCTGAATAAAATCTAAATATATCCATATTTTGTCTGTGCTGTTTATCACTACATCTGCAACTTCGCGCGTAGACGTATTGCCAAAAAATGCAACTATGCAGATTTTAGACTGTATAACGCTGCGACACGTATTGTAGTAAATACACAATACATATATACATAATACGTAAAAATAATTGCAACATCGCGTAGAAAAAACAATGCAATTTTTGTGGTACATGTTGTAGTAAACAAAAAATTATTTTACATATAAATACATTTCACATATATAAGTACATACCGTAAAATCGCCATATTGTCCTCCGCCAAATTGCCACCACGTGACGTCAATAGTGATCGTCGGAGTCCGCCGCCATATTGCCCGCCGCGTGACGTCACTTCCGGTGACGTAATGGTGATCGTCAGGGTTCACCGCCATATTGCCGCCGCGTGACGTTACGTCTTGTGACGTCCCCCTTTTTCTGTGACGTCATACCCCTTGACGTCATCGTGACTTACTCTCCTGTGACGTTATATCCTGTGACGTCATCGAGACGTCATTCCCCTGTGACGTCATCGTGACGTCACCACTCCCTGTGACGTCATACCCCGCACCCCCCTCGGAGCTCCTGGGTTAGAACTCTCATTATTACATTACTTAGGATATTCCCCGCAAAAAATTTCATATATATAATCATACAAAAATTAATATATGTAATTATTATGCAAACTCGATTCAGTTTGTTTTTTAACTGATAAATTCGATCGAAAAGAACTGACCCGGAAAAAATTCTAAAGTGGTAAGTAGATTCAAACTCGCATTAAGATCTCTATGTTTATAACTTCTGCATTCAGACCGCAAGACCACTGAACCTAATTACTAAAATCTTTTTTGGAAACAACTAAGAGTAGAAAATATATCTCTAACTTCCAAATTTCAACAATATTTAAACTTATATATAAATAAAATTATATTATTATGATTTTAATGTAATAAGGATCCGATTTTTTTGTGATTGGCAAAATTAATCCGAATTAAATTGGAATTTCTCCGATGTAGCAGGTAAAAAGTAAATCGATTGTAATGCAAAGGGATTTCGATGTTTTATGTAGTAAGAAACGGTCATATATTTAAATAACATACGCGGTAAATACACTTAAAATATACAGTAAATATTAATGTTTTAATAAATCAATATGATAAGTTTGACTGAGGCAGCGTAGTATGTCCAAAAAAACGTTTAGAAAATATCCCGAGGAAACTTTTTTGAAAACATACAATAGGATGTTCTCTGGATGTTCTTTAGGATGTATTTTGGATATACGTGAAAAAGTTCTGTTATAAAAAAGATAATATAGTA